GGCTTGAGGCGAAACCACAGGAGAAAAAGAAGAACCGATGACATCACCGAATATTCAATGCTAAAAGGATACAAATAGCCATCTATTGCTTTTCTAATGCCCTCAATGGCCTTGAATGGAGGACATCTGTCAGTTGGGTACTTTGGTGGCTTCGATGTGTGGTCTACAGACTCGTCAACTATTATATAAAACCAAGTGCATAGGTTGACAGCAATGATGTGCATTAGGAATATCTTCATGCTGCAGGAATCAAAGAAGGTCTTGCTGGAGAAACGACAAAAGAAGTAAAGTTGAAGGATCAAGAATATGAATTTCGTAAAAGAAAAGATGGCTTCACTCTTTAGCTCGCTTTCCACATCTCCTTTACTCGTGATGTTGGTGAAGTTACAAGTCTTGCTGAATACAAACGGCAGGAATTCCACAGCAGTAATGAAGGAACTTCCAATGCAGAGAAATGTTACCCCAATGATCAGATATCCAGGAATGTGGCCGTCATGTTGCCTCTCAGCTAAGCAACAGCCAGACTTGTTTCCACAACAAAATGCTCCAATTATCCAAACAATGGAGATCCCCATGTAGATGATGAGAAAGACATACAGACTTGTTTTGGTGATGTGCTTTACCTCATCTATTTCGGCTCCGATTGAGAGCGAAATTCCAATTGCAAGGGTAGAAATAAAATGGACGAGACTCAGAGTGGATATTTCGGTTTTGTAAAAAGGAGAAGACAGCAGACTCCAAAAAAATGCCTTGCAGCTTTCACAACAGGATGGTTCTGGAGGTACAGCGGTGTGATATGAAGATATAGAAGAACCTAATTATAAAACCATTAGCAATTAATAAATAATCAATAATGATAAGCTAGAGTTCTTGCACAAAGTTATCGGTCTTCAACCGTCACCTGGCCTGCATTCAGCCTGTTTAATTCTTACGAAACAACGGTTATTTCGAGAGAATTAAACCGGCTGAACGCAGACTACCGTCACCCGGCTAGCTGGTAAGAGGTGAGAGCGTCGGTCTGTTTTGCGGACGGTCGTGGTTCTAGTCTCGGCCAGACCAGCACTCGGGGTCTTAAAATAACTAAGAAGAAAGAGCTGCCTTTGTAAGGTCCCGTCTCTCTACACTTCATCTTTACTAACCAATCATGGGAGGGACGTAAAAGAACCACTGAGGACGTAAAAACCCAGGCAGTGACCACCCTCAGTGCCTATACCTCATACTAACCATCTGTCTGGCAGAGTGGTGTGGGATCCCCTGCCTGTATAAGCCATAGAACAGGAATCAGAATGGCTTGCCCACCATGACTACCGAGGAGACTCGACACGATGACGTCATCATCGCCACCATAAACAGACCTTTAGCTATGCAGTAATGTTTCAAGTTGTCATTGTGTTTTGTGAACTTGAACCAGATGCAACAAACCGACTTTCAGCTAAACTGAGTGTGAGTACTGTGTGCTTTTATACCCCCCTCCCTTTCTTCCCTAAGCATCATTATCAGCTTACTTGGTGGATCTTCTATGACGGGTACGATGGCTTCAGGATCACCTTGATTTCTCCTGTCCATAACTTCAATGAAACTGGATTTATCTTTGAAGGGTAGAAGGCGGCTGAATACACCCAATTCGAGCTGATCAAGAGATTATTGGAATGCGAGGACTGGCTGTTCTCAAGGTAACCTGTACAGAAATATCTTGTGTTTTACAGGTCATAGAAGCGAAGCTAAGGGTGTCTTTACAAGCAGGGAGAGTAATGTTAGTACTAGAGGCTTTTCACGCAGGATCAATAGATAGCTCGACGAATAGTGTACAAGGAATAACAAACGTTGCAGAAAAACAAAAGATGGCACGTGTGATTCTAAAAAGAGGATCAAACGGTGCCTATGATGGTTACAAGCATGAATACCAGAGATATCTTTCTCTTATAGTTCATCTCCTTTTGGTGTTTCAGTTTTCAATCTGATGACAAACCACAGGTAGCCCAAGCTTGGTTTCTGTGGTGTCATGTTATAAGGAAATGTATGAGGATTCATCAAAAATTTCAATAAAATCATTGAAACGTGAAATAGAGCCTCGAAATTTTACCCGATCATTGAGAAATAGCACTTCTTTCGTTCTGTGTGTGTGTTTTTTTTAATGTAGCCCATCATAAGGATGAAATATGTACAGAAGGGAGACTTAAGGTTTGACCCGGCGGCCGTGCTCTGGTTAGCTGCTAATTCCTGTTTGTCTTAGACAAATAAAATTAGAAATTAAATAAAAACTGTCCTTGTTTTTACGAGGGTAGCACTAATAATATCCAGAGGCTAACAAACCTGTGGCCCACGTTCCGTGATCGAAATGGAATTTAGGAAATGATTTTTGTGGAGGGAGGAAAATCGTAGCCTACGTTCAGCCGGTATAATTTCCTCGAAATAACCGTATTTCGAGAAATTTATACAGGCTGAACGCAGGCTAGGAAAACCTAGTCTCCCACACAGCCGCTTTCAGTGTCGTCACGCAACGCTTTCTCTGAGAAAGCGTTGCGTGACGACACTGAAGCGGCTGTGTGGGAAACTTGGAAAACCGGGAACACGAAGAAAAACCCTTGAAGCACAAAGAACTAGAAACTAGAAACTCCGACTCGCATACGACACCGAACCCGGCGGGATTCGAACCTGGGTCGCACTGATGATAGGAGAGCGCTCTCACCGCTACGCCATCCGTGCCTCCCAACGTTAGATACGTTAGAACACGCTTGAACTGTCATGATGGGCCTGTTTCATCATGTCGTGAAAAACGTCTTACTCCAAATTTTATTGAACGCCGTTGCAAGGCGAGTTTATTTTCAAGTATGAAGCTTAAAGGAAAGCCGGACACTGACTTTTGAACTCTAACTCTATTATGAGGTTTTAACTCGATTGTGTTGCTTATTTAATCGCGAAAAGAAAATCATATTATGACTCTACAGCTTATGTTATCTTTTGGTATGCAGTTGTCGGAACTCTTTGAAGAACGACGCATACAACGATAGAAGTCATGGTCATCAAGTATGTGCATATACGGGGTATTTAGGCCGATCCTTCTTTCCATTTCCAACTCAAAAAAATCAATAAGAAAAATTTCAAGCTACGAGCAAACCGACTCCAGAAATCGAAAGAAAATGTCTTATTTAGTAACTACTGAAAATTTGAGAATAATATGTTCAATAATTTGGGAGTGAAATTTTTTTGAAAGCGGTATGATTTACAAAGAAATGTATGGTCGTGTGGCAAGACGACCTAAAGATCGGCCTATGTAATCGAGTTTTCACGGTTAGAGTAGAACGATAGTAACTCGAATTTTTATTAATTGACTACACCGTTCTTATGTTATTTTTGTTGTCATATAGAACAGGAAACAATACTTGTTTTCTCCCCCTGTTTTTCACCTTCTTTTCCCTCAAAGAACAAGATTGAAAACTTCCGCTGTAAACTAAACAACCAGTTTACAATGTAATGTAGCTTCATGCAGTTTTAGCGAAAGCTGAAACGAAGTCACCTTCTTGTATTTTTCAGTGACGATCGTATATATCTGTAATATTGATCTTATTACATGAATAAATCT